ATTAATAATCCAAAGTATATTTCTCAAAAGACACAAAAGAGCTTTAAAGAACTTAAATTGTAAATGTTGCAATACTTAGTATGATATTTAGTTATCAATTTAATAGAATACTTGTTGAAGTATATTAAATACTATTTTGACCAATGCAACCATCAAAAATATTAAAATTATAAGATTGAGAGGAAAAATAAAAGAAAATTAATCAAAAAATTATTTTTAGATTTGTAGAAAGTAAGCCACATTGTATGGAGGTAATTTTGAAGATACAAAAAGGCCAATAAAATATTAATTTAATAATTGATTTTTTTTATAATATTATTTATGTATATATTTCTTCATTGTTATTTGGTGATTGAATGCATTGTTGTGATTCTTACATTAAGTATAAAAGTGATAGTATTTAATTTATCATTTGAATAGTAGATTATTTGGAATTATGGAGAGAGAAAGAGAGAGATTGTAGTAAGATAAGATATGAATTAAGTGCAAAGATTGAGACAATTTCTTGAGTCATTGCAAGTTAAAGTGATAAAAATTTTGAAATGGTATTTTTTTACTTCCATATTGTATTTATTAAAATAAAATAAATTATCCTAATAAAATTTATTAAAATGATATATTAAATACTTTTTAAAGTGATTATATATAAAAGTCGGAATTTTCTAATTTCTAGTCTTTGCCATTAAACAATCCTATATCTTTGAAATAATAAGTCATAGATAAGTTTATTAATTAATATTATTTTAATTTATTATAAACTATTTAATTAAATATCTAATTTAAGCATATATGTCTATCAAATTACTATATATATATATAATAATAATAATAATAATAATAAAATAATTTAATTTAAATATAAAAAAACTAATATTTTTTTATGACTATTAATTAGAATTTTAAAGAAAGGAAAAATCCATGATAAGTCAAATTAGCCAAAAATATTCAAAAAAATTCTTTATTTTTCCAAAAAGAAGATTTTTTGGATAAATATATTTTTTGATGAAAATCATGACATCTTCATCATTAGGATTGAGATTGTGTTTATCTATAGAAATTATATATAATTTGTAAGCTTGAGATATAAAAGCACTATTAGTGTATAATTCAATGGACACATGTTATATTAAGATCTCAAAGGTAAATTTAAGAAATATAGAAGAAATAAATTATAGTGTAAGTTCTAGCTATATAATGTAATTTAGGATTGAATAGATATTTCTTAGCTAATTTTATTTGAGATATTTTTTAATTATTTTTTATTATTTATATTATATTTTTTATATTTTAGATCTTAGAAATAATTAGGTTCTTCTAAGCCAACTTATATATAGACTGTTAGCTTATATTTTGGAAAGAATATATTATACAAATATTGAATAATCTAAATATAATTCAAAAATAAAAATATCTTAAGTAGATTTTTTAGTCTACATATGTTATAAGAAAATATTTGTAACTTTAAAAAAAAATGAGTTTCAAAAAAAAAATACAATGTAAAATCTTAAATCCAAAGCTATTTCTATTTGTCTTTACTTCTTTTTTTTTAAAGTCAAAGCATCTAAGTATTTAATAAGAGATAGAAGACCACATTTTTTGTACCTTACTAAAACCTTGATGTAGAAGATTTGAAAGATGGAAAAGGTGTATTTGAATCATAACAACAAAAAAAACTAAAAACTAAAAAAACAAACAAGCAAAAAATAATAATTTGAAGCTATTAGCTCCAATAGATTTGTTTTAAAGATATAGAACCGTTTTCTTTCTTATTGTTATTAAATAGATGTATTGAAAGAATAGTGATGGAAAAAATAATGTTACAAAACTTTAAGGTGAAGAAATCTATGTAAGATGAGTGTGCCTTTGATGTTGCAAAGAGTTGATTTGATTATGTTTGTTTCTTTTAGAAACAAGATTACTTATCTTTGCTATAAATAATATATTAATTTTTCTAAAGCATGTATTTTCAAAATATCTTTTTATATTCTAGATTGGAAAGAATAGTTGGTTTCGTAATTTGAATTGATATAAATAATAAATTATTGTTGATAGGACAAATAGCATCTTGTTAGAAAGATGAGATGTAAAGAAGAGAGAAGGAAATCTACATACTATCTTAATTTTAAATAGTAAGTCACATAAAAAGATAGAATAGGATATCAATTCTTTATCTTTTTTGTAGAAAAATCTTAAACATTAGATACCTTTAAAAAATCTTATTCTTTCGTGCAAGGATGTAAATAATTTTTTTTATAAAATATATCAGAATTTATTTTCTATAACTCTTGCAACCATTAAAAATTTGCTAAATTATTCTATTTCTTGCTTAAATATTTTATCTTCTATTTTTATAAAATAATTAGATTTTTGTAAGTATAAATTTTTTGGACTATCAAGGTAGGAGTATCTATCTTAAAATATATTTTTATAGATTAATACCAAAAGAAAGATCTTTATTTTATAGTTGAAGTCTTATAGTCTTTTCTATTGCATGTATGCAATTTCTTTATTTTAGGATTTGTAAAATAATTATATTTAGAAGTGGAGACATACAAGTTTTTTTAACATAAAATTGTATAGTTAAGATTTAATTTAATTAGATAAAAATCTAATTCTAAAAAAACTATTATCTCTAAGCTAAGGTTTGAATGGAATTAAAAATATTTTTTTATATTATGGTTAAAGGCTATTGCTTTTATAAATCTGATAAAGTTAAAAAAATCATGAAGAATTTTAAATATTAATAAGATTAAAATATAAATCCCAAGAGGCACAAGTACCATCAAGCTAATAATAAGAGATATAATAATTTTTTTTATTCTAAAGATAAGTTTATAGTCTATCAATTCTTTAACTTGTACAATATCTAATGTTTCAATGAGACATTTTCAATGCATTGTGATGTGACAAAAATATATGTTTTGATAAAAATTAGGTATATTAATTATAATGATATAAACAAAAATAAAGTCCATAAATAACCAAATCTTCAAATATTATTTTAAAATAAAATTTTGAAACATCTTATTATATATTTAATTATATATCTATGTTAATTAAAATATTTTTATTTAACAAGATTATAAATTATTAATTTACTAATACAAATTATAGTATTTTATCTTATGATAGTTTTATGTTAAGTTTATATATTGCTTCTTTTTTTCTAATATTTTTCTATTATATAAAAATAATATATATATTAAATTTTTAATTTTAGTTTTATTATTAGTATTTGGTTTTAGTTTTAGTTTTTATAGTTTTTTTTTTTTTTTTTTTTTTTTTTTTTTTTTTATCTTTTTAAAATTCCTTTAGTATTTATTTGTAAATATCTAATATATTAGTTTACTTTTTTTTATGTATTGTTTGATATTTATTCTTTTTTATTGTCCATCGTTTCTTTAAATACCATCAAATGTTTTAGGTCTAATTTGTTTATGAATAATTTTATCAAGTAATAATCTTGCTTGACACAAATGTTTATATTTAAAAAGTAGAAATTTAGAAAATATCATTTATTCTTTTAATAAGGCATGCTAAAACATCCCATCGTTAAAAGCATATTGCAAAATTATTTTTATAATTGATGTAGTTTAATTTTTACATGATGTATTTATATACAATCCTATCATTTGTGTAGAAAAAAATTCAAGGATTACATGAATGTATGTAAAATTCTTTGGTTAGATTCATAGATCTTTTTGTTCTTTATAAATTAATTATAACTCCTTAATGCCAAATTATCTAATTAAGTAAAAAAAACTATAAGTTATGCTTATTTAATTTATAAAATTAAAATCTAATATTTGTCTTATTTTGATTAATGCTAATTTATTATGCTTATAAATAGATTGAATTATTTTATATTAAAATTTACATTATAATTTATATTTTAACTAATTATAGTATCTTTTAAAGATAAAAATATAAATTATAATTAAATTAAATATTATCAATTAGTCTATAGAAGAAATAAATAAGTTAGCTAAAAAAAAAGTATCTCTATGCCTCTAAACAATGTATTTTATAATTGTCCATATTTGTTTTTTACAATTTTTAAACTTTGCATATTTCTAATAAACTCAAAAGTTATCTAAATTATGAACAATACATATATATGGCAAATAAAATTCTAATCTCATTGTTTATTTTAGTTGCTTAGATCAAATAACTACCAATAAATAAAATATCCAAATAAGTATCTAAAATTTTAAATCTAATACATAGTTTTGAATTTATTTAAATCATAGAGACAAAGAAATTTATAAAATTATTAAAGGAGTAAATATATATATATCTATATAGGATTACAAGGCCATCTCATATTAGACATTTAGATCTAGCAATTATTATCTAATAAAACACAAAACTATGTCTTTGAACTTTTTAAGGTTGATAATTTTTTTAAAATTTATTTAAATTAAAATTATATAATAAATTTTATTAAATAATATTTTAGGATTATTTTAATTTTAATTAAAAATTATTATTGAGTAGATATATGTGGTCTTTCACAACAAATGTTTACATATGCACAAACAAACAGTTGGTTTGACAATACTATAAATTAATAACTATAAAATAAGCCTTTCAAATTTCTTAGATACATGAACTAAAATTACATATGCAATACATAAAACATATCTTAAAAAATTAAGATGAAATAAAAAAATTGACTGAAATACTATTTTTAATGTCTAATATGTCATATTATTAATGTTAATGTAAGCTTAAGTACATTAAAATTTTAAAGAACTAATATTTGTGAAATTTGGATAAGTAAAAAAAATCATCAATAATAGATCACCAATCTTTTTCAATTAAAATAAGTGTGTATGTCAAGAATAGCACACCACACAGTTAAAGAAAAAAATTGATGGCTACCTCTTTTTTGGACTTTTTGACCAAAGAGCCGTGTGCCCACTTTGTTGGGTACTCAATCGCAACAATCGTGTAGATGTTCCTTCTATTGCATTCCTTGGTAGTAGCCATTTGAAGTTGACCCCACTTATTATTATTACTATTATTAAAGGCTTCTATAGAGATAATCAAATGTAATTCTAACAAGGTGAATATCCTTCGTCCATGGGCGTGAAGTGACGTGCATGTATTGCACAAGTCATTACAGTCCTTAAATGAGGTATTTAGGGTTTAGGGTGTCGACTTGGACACAAAATTTAGGTCTTTGAATCAGTTCGTGATGACAGTGTAGGCATAGTCTAGCTCATTTTTGTTGCGTGAGACGGGCATTTCTGCACGCAGAATTCTCTTGTAAGAGCTCCCTTGCATGCTTATAATGGCTGTCCTACTTGTAGTAATTTCTATTGTATTATGTGTGGCCCTCGCTCCTTTGGTTTTCTTCTGCGTTGAATTATATCGCTGTAACTTGGAAATAAACCTTACTATCCGCCATGTGGGGTCTGTTTTTGAATCACTCCTTACACTGCACCGTTATTGGAAAATTGCTAGAACGCAGGTAGTGCTTGAATTTTGTACATACAAATACCGAAAAAAAAGAGTTTGTTTCTCAAGAGTGGTGTACCTGGATTTGCACTAAGTGAGGGGATAGCCTGCCCAGAACATTGAATAGACTCCCATTCCGCTGTTGTTTTGAATCAATGCAACCACTACGGCGGTTGAAGATGTTGAGAGGTTGAAGATATATGGGCATGTTCAATCCAGTGCTTCATTGTTGGACTTTGGCTTATCTTATTTCAAATGTATTCCAATGCTTCTCTGCACTTTGCAGTCCATGCAAAAGCTTCGCTGCGTCTTGTTAACGTGAGCTTCCGAGCAGAACATTAAACGAACGCTACACACCTGGTTTCTGGTCCTGTTCCCACACTAGACAAATTCACTCAGCGCAAATAATAATAATCTGTATTTTTTTTTCTTACTTGCTCCTTCCTAAAGCTTCTAGATGGACGTGAAGCCAATTCGTTGGCCTCTGTTTTAGCATTCCATCTCCTGCTGTGTCGTATAACCTTCCCAGAATTTTGTTCACATCCTGATTAGAAACTGAAGTTGTATGTTGATGAAATGGTTGGGCATGTTGAAACTGCTGAATGCGAGGTGACCAGCTCTGGTTTTACAAATGTGATTTAAAGTACCGTTCAGATTCCATGGGTGGGATCAGAATCTTGGGTTTGTAAATATGTCGACAGGGAACAGGGTTTCAGATGCAATGAGGACATGCATCTTGAATTGCATGTTTGCACAGCTCGTGCACACTTTTTTATTTGTGCTCTTCTGAGCCGGATTTTGTTTTGTCAATGTTATGGAGCTTAAATTAAAGCTCTCTTTGTGGTGTTTCCAAGTCTTTGTTAATTGTAGAAGCTTGGTCTGTACGAATTTCTGATGTTGTATTGTCTCTGAGCTTCTGGAGACTTTTCTTACATTGTGGTTTGTTTTTGCGGTTGCTCTAAGCATCAAGTTTGGTTACTTCACTTGTTTAGTTATTTTCTTTCATGAGAGGCTTGTGAGTTGCTTTCAATGGCAAGAAACAGTCCTAGAAGATAAAGCAGCTTTGGTTGGAGCCCACTGGTGAGGTTAGGGAGGGGTGGAAAATCAAGGAGAAGCCTCAGAACAACAGTGCTGAGGTTGCATTCGGTGGAGTGGATCCTTTCGCGGGGAGCGAGAATGAGAAGCTGCGGTTGAAATTGTTTCTGATGTGAACATTTGCAGAGACATGTGCGAGGAGGGTCTTTGTGGAACCCGCACGCGGTGACACCTAGGAGATGCTGTATAATGTATTGATTAATGATCTCGTGCGAAAAATCCATCTTATCAAGATGCAGTCGTCTGCCTCCAACAGGCGCTGCTAGTGTAGTGGTATCATAGTACCCTCGGATACTCGGCTAGGAATTGCCTTGGGGGCTCCGTGAAACGCGGAGCCGCGACTCTAAACCTAGATCCGAAAACTCAGGGATGTTGATTAGTGCGTAATCGAGCAGTTTAAATGGGGTCTTTCGAGTAGTGATACTATCAGTGATACGAAGTGCATCTGCAGCAGCACACTTCAATCCAAATACAGGTCAAATTCGGTAGAATGGACATGAATTCGGGAACTGGTCGGGTTAGAGCACCGCAGAAGGGCAATCTTTTTGTCAATCAAGCAGTAGCAGAGCCAATAGGTAGCACAGATGAGAGGATACCACATGAGCAGATATCAGCACAGGGAGCCATCAGAAGTCGGCGGGCACTTAACACCTATTCGAATATCAGACAAGGATCCGAATCACAGGAATTCAGGGATGCGCTCAAGGAGAACCTACACACCCACAAGAATCCCAACGACCAACAACCGGAGAGACTCCTCCTGTCGCAAGAAGCGGCCCGGACAACCGGAACGCCAGCATACTGGATAAGCACACGCACACAGGTAAGTGCGGAAACCCCTCCTCATTTAACTGCTTCACAGGAGGATGCAGAATGTCGTACACCGGACCAGGACAACCGGTCTACAGGGATTCAATATTACTCACAAACGGCAAATACAATATTCCCCCTGAGCAAGGAGGAGGGAGAACTTTTGGAACCCCAAGGAGATTCAGACCTAGAAATATTCCAGGCTATTAGGAACCAAGTACAGAATCGAAGGCGAACTAGACAACAACTCCTAAGTAAGTACCCACACCTGGGCCTGTCCTTTACCAACTCGGAATGTGAAGAAATAGCAGCGTTGGTGACAAGAGTAGCCCCAGATTTATCAAGATATCTTCAAACATACTACCCGGGCCCTCATAGCGAAACAATACCCATATCACAGAACAAAGACAATCCCAAAGAGGTACTCACACCCATCTTAGAGGAACCTTGTACTAGACAGACTTCAACCACAGAGACAACAGAACAAGCCAATTTGGTACCCATTAGTTCACAAGAAAAGGAACGCCCCCCACCCGTGCGTATTACTATGACTGCAGACAGGGTGCAGACATACCAGGAAAAAATGAAAAATCTCACCAACTACATGGTCATGGGACACATCTCGGGCCGCACACCCGGTGCCAAGAAACTATCCATGTGGGCCAAAGCAAACCTACACAGATCTTTCCATCAACTAACTATCCGATCCAACAACTACTTCGAAACCCAGTTCTCTCAGGAAGAAGGTCGGTTGAGTACGCTAGCGTCACAAGGTAGTACCCTAGAGGGGGGGGGGATATAACGTTCTACAGTTGGAGTCCATACTTCAATACAGATCACCCGCTCAATAAATCAGGACTAAAGATTGGAATCTGGGCACAAGTTAGAGAATTACCTCCATTTCTTCGAACTTGAGAGTTTCTGAGAGAAACCTTTGAGAATTTTAGCGAAGTGTTATTCGTAGATGATACGGACACATACCTTACCAGGCTATCAGGACCCAGAGTACGCATCCTTACGAGCAATGTAGAAGCCCTACCCCAATCCATAATTATTCCAAGTCTAGATAATGAGGGAGAAATAGAATACTCCCTTGAATATAGCGGTCTTTCCACACAATGTAGTAGATGTCGATCGTTTGACCACTTGGTACAAAAATGCCAAGTAGCACGACGACCAGCAACCGAAAGACAGCACACAAAACGCACACAACGGAGCAATGGCAAGTCACAGAACACAAACACAACAAGGGCTGTAGATGGGAACACGACACCAACCCCACATACAAACCCACACAAGGGACCGAACACTAAACAACCTACTTTCGTTTGGCAACCGAAACGGGATCATCAGAGCAGCCAAACCTCTACAGATACACTCCAGGCAGGGACATATGGATACAGAACACCAGATCTACACACAAACTTTTGGAGAGCTCTATCACCAAGTCAGATCTTGGAAACTACAGCCTCTGCAGTAATAGTCACGGGATTTTACAGAGAGAACAAAAACCTCCTAGAGGTACTCATCGAGACCGAGGGCACCCAAAAGAAACCGGAAAACATATTCACGCTGACACATGGACAAGGGGAAAAGGAATGGACCCAATTATCAGCTCGTACTCATGTCGTCAATGAGACCATGCTTCACATGTGAGGACAAGTCGTGTTGAAACACAAACATGTCAACCCACTCCGGGTGTGGGAGGACGCGTGCTGGCTCTTCACATGGTCAAAATCAACCACACACCCACCTTTATGCACAATCACAGCTTCAATCAAATACGATGAGGAAGTCTGTGCACCGCGTAACAGCACCAGGCAACAGTGGGAAGTACTCCCCAAGAACATACAGGATTACCTCAGGCGATTCACACAGGACAAAACACAAGCCTGGGACTTAGATTCAAACGAACTACCAGCCTTCATGGGCTATAGTTTTCCAGGGGCTACAACGTCACAGCACAACATACTGTACTGAATCATAAAGATGATATAGAAGGGAAGTCCGCAATCCCATAACCGGACGTGATAGATGAATAACCACCTTACTCTCACGTCGCTAAACGTACAAGGACTAGGACGCGACATCATTGGAGTCCGTAAACGACGTGAGATACGAGATTTCTTCCAGAAATCTCAACCCAAACCAGAAATAATTCCGGTTCAAGAGCACAAGTTATCACTAGAAGAAGGGAAGAGGCACACAAAACAGATTGAATTTGCAAGAGGCGTCTCTCTCTGGAATGAGGCAACCTATTGCGCTCAAAAAAATAGCTTTAAGGGGGGCACGGGGATACTATTATCAGAAAAAATAGCAAGCCTCATCTGCGAACATGGGGTCATAATGAAAGGAAGGGTTCAGTACGTTACCCTCCAATGGACATCCTTTCTGAAAATCGGGATTATAAATGTTTATGCATTTAACTATACTGGATCTCGATCAAGGTTATGGACTAAAATACGACACTATCCACAGCCTGAAGCCCACTGGATCCTAGGCGGAGACTTCAATATGATAGATCAATTAGATGATAAATAGGGAGGGCAAGACACCATCTGCCGTGGCCAAAGAGAACAAGTAGCCTGGGGAGACTTACAGGTACACCTAGGCCTTCAGGATAGTTTTAGGCGGACGAATTCAGGAAACTATCCACGAAGAAGTTCTCCTGGGATAATAGACGTAATGCCCCAGGAATGATAGATTTTACTTAAACCATATTCTTATCCAACTTGGAGGGCAGACTGCCATCTGGCCTTCCCTTACGCACGTCTCAGACCACGCACCTGTAGTCTTAAAAATTCATCAGCAACATTTTAGAACACAAAACCAACCGGCCTTCAATAGGCATCTATTGGAAGATGACAACGAAAAGACATTGTTGCTGGCAGAATGGACTAGGGCTATGGCACTGAACTCGGACAAAACTTGGAATGCTCGGTTTGTCGAGGGACTGAAAACGCTTAAATACTACAGCGATCAGAAAACATCAGCTTACCGAGCACAACGCAGTGAAGCCTTCACAACACAATTAACACCGGTAATTGAAGCTGAACAAGCCCTACAACACAACTGGAATGACCAGTGGGCTAAGGACACCCTTAACTTAGCACAAATAGAACTCCATATGCAACGTCAAAAACTGCTAGAATCCAAGCATGACAGACATATGTCTGAATGGACACGCATCGGTGATCGATGCAACCGGGAATTTTTCTAATTCCATACGGGATATAAGAAACCGACCTTGATTAGTGAACTCATAGACGACGGAAGATCACTCACCAACCAAGAGGAGATGCAATGTTATGTTGACTCCTTTTACATTCGACTCTACACGCGAGACTAATCAACAATCAACAAGCTAGATTAGACTGCCTCAAAAGCGTCTCCAGGTGTGTTACAGAAGACCAAGGAAGGAAACTCACACAGTGCCCTACGCTACAGGAGGTATACGACGCAGTCAAGGGTCTCCCCCCGAAAAGCCCCCGAAATCGACGGAGTCCCTATGGAATTCTTTAAAACTTTTATAGAAGAATTAGGGCGAGATCTCCTCGGACTAATCAAGGAAATATTCGAAACCAAAAAGTTATGCCGCTCGTTAAATACAAGTAAGATCAGCTTGCTTCCAAAGGGAGGTGAGTTGGTATTTCTGAATAATTTCCGACCCATCTCCATACTTGGTGCAGTGTATAAAATAGTGGCCAAGCTGATAGCTAATAGAATGATTCCCTATCTCCCTACCTGGATACGAAGCTCCCAGACGTTGCATCTTCGACAACATCTTTATGACCCAATCCTCAATAGATTGGGCTTTAGAAAGCAACCAAGATCTCATCCTCCTGCTCTTGGACTTTGAAAAAGCCTATAATAGGATAAGCTGGAATTTCTTGAGAGAAATCATGTTACACATGGGATTTCCCACTGACTGGGTCGAACTAGTTATGACATTATACTCTGAGGCCTCTGCTAGAACTATGCTAAACGGGGTACCTGGGGAGCAGTTCTCTCTACAACGTTCTGTGAGACAAGGGTGCCCCTTGGCACCCTATCTATACCTTCTTGTCGGAGATGTGTTAGGACACATGCTCTCGGATCCTGATCGATCCTTGGTAGGATTCACTCTATCGGATGGTAAAACAACAACAAACTAAATGTATGCTGATGACTTGGCACTCTACATCCAGGGAACAGAGCATAATATAGATAATGCCATGGGAATACTGAATATCTACTGCAAGGGGAGTGGCGCTAAAATAAACTGGAGTAAATCATATGGAATCTGGTCATCAAGACAACCCCGCTCGTGGCAATGGCTACTAGATCCGGGTCTTAACTGGCTACCACCTGGCTCTACCACCAAATACCTTGGATTCCCAATTGGGGCCTTAGCACCGACAGAAGTCATCGCTTATAAAGTGATCCAAAGCTTGACTGTAGGCCTCTCAGTTTGGGAATCGAAAAACCTATCCCTGGCCTGAAGGTTCATGATTGCAAACTAGTCAATATTAGCCATAATTTGGTTTCTGTGTTCAGCAACCTCAAATACTACCTTCAAAACGATTAGAGCACTCACACGGAACTTCATTTGGGGGGCCAAGCTGGGTAAGAAAACGAGGGCAAAGCTAAGCTGGACACTCTTGATTCAAACAGTAGCCTCGGGAGGGGTTAAAATACTAGATCCGAAACTTCAAACCCAAGCGCTAATGACAAAATTAGTAGTTCAAAGTCTTCAACCAGGATACGAACCGTGGAAAGTCTTTGCAAGACACAATCTAGGATGTACAAAACCCACTGGGGCGGGAAGATGGCCCAGATACATACATTGGATCAACGTAAGCCGAACAGCACCTATAAGATCCACCCCTCTATGGCAAGCAACGTTTCAATCTTGGTATTCAACTAAATCCGACCTACAACAGATTGCCCCAAGACATCCAACAGAGGTCCTTAGACAGCCGCTATTTGGAAATACATTGATTAGACAACATTCTGGCACCCTCTTTGGCATTGAAACCGATTCTAGATTTTATACATGGACAAAGAGAGGTGTTTTTCAGATTAAAGATGTGGTATTACAGCCAACCAGACAATGGCACACAGAAAACTTCATCAAGTCAGCTACAGGCTCATGCACAACAGCAACACAATGGGCAGCACTTAAACGGGCTATTCCTTGGAACCCTCCTTCTCAGACTCCTCTAAAAACAGGCTAGTGGATAACACGCACAACCTCAAGTATTGATACCATATACCAGACACAAAAAAAAGATGGAAGAGAGTGGTTATGTTAAGTCTATATTGTCCTACCTTCAGAGGAAATCAAATCCATTGACAATTGACTACAACTGCTACCACGAGGTAACCACCAGCATGTCAAAATCATTTGAACAATGGGAGCTAAATGTGGTGTGTTATCATATAACCCGGAAACTGTGACTGAAGATGAAAGATTATGGCTCTTCGGTACAGTTCCTATTAGTCAACTAAGGTGGGACCCTAAGGACTAGCAATGGGCCAGATTGGGATGCCTCGAACCTTGCAATTTCTTTCAATATACAACCAAGCGAGGACATCGAGAGGCTCTTAGGAAAACAAGCAAACAAATGCGTGGTCTCAAAGCTTTGGAGGCACAGGGTTACTCATCTAAACAACAACAACAACTAACACAACGGATCTGGCATCCCTGGATACCTCGCAAGATAGCAGCCATGCAATGGCTGTACCTTGCGGGAGGCTTACCAATAGGAGAATGGAGAGCTAAAGCTTCATCAGCGAGTACATGTAGACTTTGTCACTCCGAAGAAACAGAAACAAGTGAACACGCATTATTCAACTACCCAAGGGTTGCACCTACATGGAAGTACCTCAAAACACTTCGATCCCAAAGTCACCTCCAAATGACTACTCACAATGGAACAACATCCGATTTGGTTTACTAAATCTACCTGGTAACACAGACATTGCCTAGACATCTTCATGGGATGCAGGAGCTAAGATACAAGTTAACGATAATACACCATGGGATATACTACGAGCTAGTCTTAACTGGAATATTTGGGTTCAAAAGTGTGAAGAAGAACTGAACGGCCATCTGTTTTTGCTCGGCAAAGTTTTGTTCTACTCGTGGAAAACAGTAATCCATGTTGGTGCAGAGGTATGGCGTAGCATTTTCAGACATAAACGCAGCCAAGACAAGATCACCGAGCTAACAACCCTTTTCAACACGGTCTAGACTCAGCAAGGAGTTTTTGCCACCGGTGGTAATCCACCGTATTGGAAATGGCTTCCACCATCCGCCTTTCTTCCACACGACCTAGCACAAGCTGTCCTTCAAATGCCATTAAGGCCAAGGCAAACGATCTCCTCGGATGAGACAACAAGCTCAAATTCCAGCAGAGAGTTATCCTTGGCTATAGATGATCTTTTTTATGAGGTTGACAGAGGCATACATGAACAACAGATCAAGTTCTCTAATCCGACACAAACACCCCCTTCTTCACGAATCGAGGACATCCTCGAACAAGCAGAGGTAATCAAAGCAATTCTGATGGAGATGGCCAGTAATCTACAGTCAACACAATTGACAATAGACAGTAACCTACCCCAGACCCAACTTAACGAAGAAGAAATGGAAAGAGAGGTCGAAGAGATACTAACAAATATGGAATACGAACGACTCGATCAACCTCCAGACTCACCCCGAACGACTCAACGCCAACAAAGAATTAACGAAGCTAGACAGAGATGGTATGATGCAGTGCCATATGGACCAAAAGATCTCATCCACCTAGTAGACTCAGCCAGGCGAAACCCATCGTTCCGAGGCAGCATTACTGCCCTAGAAATTTATGCAGCCACAGGTCAGCACTTGCATGGCGACAACTTTCAAAGATGGATGGCAGACGGGCGTCAGTACTTTGACCTAGGACCAAGACATCCAAGATGATGACACAAATATCTACAGTGTAAGGATACTAATAAAACCTAAGACCATTTTCAATTAGTACCAGTTAATCAATCTTGACTTAAGGATATAAGAATAGGCATGCAACGGATCTTAATCCCAGGAATGGCATATGCCGACAACGACCAATCGTGGGACTACACGTGCCAAGGCTCTTCTGTAATGCACTTCGGTGCTTGTTTTTAACCCCGGTGGAAATTTCACGGCATCATAGTACCTTCCCACGGTACTGACCGGGGTTCGATTCCCCGGCTACGCAAAATTTTTCGCCTCCGCGTGTGAGGCAGCGTCGGCTAACCTGATCTCAGTTTCAAGTCTCCCTTTTGGCGGCAAGGGAGCAAAGATTCAATGCGTATTTAGTCCGTGCTTTTACGATCTAGTGTACTTCAGTGAATGACATTCAAGAATGAGTCAGTAATGATGGATGACATTTGCCTTCTTTACACAGTCATCAAATTCGTTAGTTTTTTGTGAGATTACTTTCTTTAGTTTCTAAGAATTGTTTTACTGGATGGAGTTCGTGGTGTTTTCTTTTTTCTACTTTACATGTTTTGTAAAACAATTCGTTGCATGTAACTTATTTGCCATGTGACTATCTTTGTGTGCTCATCCTTAATCTTCCAATTGGTGGGACTTTAACGCATTCAACTTCATCTCTACTTATAAACTCCCGGTTATTCATTCGAATATCAGGATCACATGAAAAAAAAGAACCATGAACGGAAGATTTCCAGAAATGTAGAATTCAGAAGTAGAGGGCAGCAACAAGGTCAACGGGGTGTGTATCAACAAGCAAAACTCATTTCATGCTCAAAAGCGAACCTGCAAATCACAAGCTGACTCCGAACTTATTCCATGAACGAAGTCTTCAAACACATAAACTAGAGGATGACCTCACGGTTCTAACCTGGTACCACTGAAAGGTTGTCCGCAGCACGCCCCGGTGCTCAGCGAATCCAAAACTCGTGAACCGAAATCAGATATGGGATGACCTGCTCGATTCTACCGCCGAAATATGTATCACGTCCAACGATGAGAGTGCCACTCCCAGCGAAGCCTCCTCACGTGCACAACACGTCCCTCGACACGCATGGAAGCCAAGCCGCAGCGACTCTGCGTCTCCAGAGTGCAATTAAAGACGAGATTATTTTTCTACGCGGAGACAAGGAACACAAACGAAAGAACATAAATGAGAGAAGTGACGCACAAGGACAAATAAATTGCAATGCGACTAAATCTTCAATGGGTCCAGAATGTGAGAGGAAGCATGAACACCGAAGAAAACGAAGAAGAAGAAGCTAAGTAACAAGAAAGAGAGCATTCTCTGAAGGGATGAATGAATGAAATTAGACTTTCGTAATCGAAGTTGGATGATTTATGTCCATTAATTTCTGGAAGGTTTGGTTTAGCGAGGAGTAGGAGCAGAGCTGTGGTCTCGGTGTCGATGATTTGTTGCATCGGTTCCTCGATCAAGGCCCCATTGCGACGTCCAGCAGCTTGCGCACCCGATTGCCGAAGCCGTTACTCGTCTGAGGTAAGTTGAAGCTCTCGTCCTGGTTCAGATTTTTGCACTTCTTGCTTCTCATTTCGCTCTGTTTTTCTTGCTCTTGCCTCAGATCTGCTTCCCTCGGCGCATTCTGTAACTTAGGTTTTGGTCTAGGATTCGGTCAAGGAGTGCATCGACAGTGAGATTTTTGAGGTTTCTAGTGAAGGTGTTTTTGAGAGAATGATAAACAATGGTGTTAGATCGGGGCACTGGTGTTGGAAATCAATCGTGGAGTGTCGTAGGGTGTGAGATTTTACAGGCTTCGGTTTCGCTTTAATTTTTGAGTTCAGAGTGATAGATTAGGTTCCGTTTAGTTGCTGATTGTTTCGTATGGTTTTTACTGAAGGTGAAAATGCGCTTGGAGTTTTAGTAATCTGTACATCTGCGTGATAGTGAAACTCTGGTCCTACTGGGGCTTGGAACAGTGCCGATTTGAAGGATTTCTGCTTTCGTGGTACCTGGTCGGGTTGATGCGTCTGGCCTTGAAATGGTGACGTTCTTTATAAAGTTTTGGACAAATTCAAATAACTCACGTAGAGCTTCTAAATTAGCAGTAGGGCCGACATTGTAATATTCTTGTGCGATGGTTTTGATTGTAGTTCATTAGGTTATTGTTTTTTTGAATATCATAACGAGGTCATCTAGTATCTTGGTTTTTAGACAAAAAAGAAGTTGTGTTACTTACTAGTCCGACAATCCACCGTCAGTCCAGCCCTACGATCCGCAGAACGGACTGGTTTGCGCCAACTCGCTAGGTGACTTAGCAACAAACTTGGCCATCCTTGACTTAAGTAAGTCATGCATTCGTTTAAACAAATCCATGGTATGTTAATTTTCGAAGAGCAGGAAAAATTATGTCTCTTTGAACGAGGATTCAACTCTTTAGAGCTTGACAAGGTGAACGCATTCATTGTTTACATTCGCGAGCAATTTGCAAAATCTTCGGAGAGCAAAGCAAATCTTCATTTATTTTTCATCTGACACTAGTCAATTTTGAGGTCTAATATGTCGATTTGGTGTTCTCAGGGGTTGATGGAGTGATCTCAAGCATCTGAATAGCTGTTTCCTGCTTCCTCTGGTGAAGTAGGTGGGGGGTGTTGCATGTTACAATGTCCGGAATCGACAGGATGAATCTGAACACGTCATCGCAATCGGATATCGATGAGATCGAGAGTTTGTTCAACATTAGCGTGCAGCCTGCAACCCTAGAGGTGCCCCAGTCGGTTCCTCCCGCTCGAAAGCCGTCCAGTCCCCCGACGATTCCTGTGTCCGCACCTCTGCTGCCTCCTTCGTCGGTTTCCAGCAGCAGCCAGGCATTCTCCACCCCAGCACCGGCTGGGCCTACGCTTTCTACAGGTGCGTGAAAGGGATGAGGAGGTGGTGAGAGAGGATGGGATGGTGGTGTGGGTGGGGAGGAAGAGTTGAAGTGGGTACGTAGGAAAGCGGGGCAGGAAGTGTTGGGAGAAGATGGTTTTGGGAGATTATTGGTGAGTGTGGTGGTGCTGAGGCTGAGCGGTTGTGGGTGCAGGTTTCGGCGGAGGCCCTCAGTACAACACGCTGACGGAACCAGTATGGGAGACGCTGAAGAGAGACTTGGTGAGGGTGTCGAACAACCTGAAGGACGTGGTGCTTCCGAACCCGTACCGTGAGGACCCCGGGAAAGCGTTGAGGGACTGGGATCTGTGGGGCCCGTTCTTCTTCATCATATTTCTAGCATTGACGCTGTCGTACTCGGCGTCGGAGAACAAGTCGAAGGTGTTCGCGGTGGTGTTTGCGACACTGTCGGCGGGGGCGATAGTGCTGACGCTGAATGTGCAGCTTCTGGGAGGGAGCATCATCTTCTTCCAGAGCTTGAGCGTGTTGGGGTACTGCCTGTTTCCGCTGGACGTAAGCGCGCTGGTGTGCCAGGTGAACAACACAAAGTTGTTTCGGAGCCTGGTGGTGCTTGTGGCGTTGGCGTGGAGCTCGTGGGCGGCATACCCGTTCGTGAGCACAGCAGTACCGTCGAGTCGGAAGGCGCTGGCCGTGTACCCGGTGCTGTTGCTGTACATCACAGTGGGGTTTCTTGTGTTGGCGAACAACTGAAAGAGGAGGGGACATTTTGGGTGGTGTGCAGGAGTTGGAGCAGAGACGTAGGACATTGTGTAGCGGTTGGTGATAGGGAGCATGGGAGGTATTTAATGTACGTTCGGTTTCAGCTTTAGCTTTATCGGGGGGAGTAGTGTTTACAATGTATACAATGTAATGAAGTTCTCTGCTTGGAGACGGAAACATATATATATATATATATATACATAGATAGATAGATATGTAGAAGAGTTGACGATCTTTTATTCTATTCATTTAGAGGTATGTGTGTTGGAATTAGGAACATGTCAGATGTCACAATGTTTTATTCATTTGTCTGTAATTTAATGAAGTTTGACTTTCTATTAGTATGTGATTTACAGTAAATGTGTCACAAAGTTGCTGAGAGAGTAAGAATAGTCTGGATTTAAACGCATTGTACTTCTCACTGCTCGCTCATGCAAATACAAACAGTAGCCTAGAGTAAGTTCCAAAATATGGTAATGACTTGAATGTGTCTTCGAGCTATTGAAAAGTTAAGAAATTTAATTTACAGGTAGTTCCAATATTTCTAGCCCAATCGATCTACTCGCCACTTGCTGCTTTTACAGGGCACAATCGATACGCGGAATTTGTGGAATGTTGTTATGTAACCTACATTCTACCAACCGTCACTACTAAAATGAAGAAAAGTTGGTTTCGCTGACAACCGCCGCATTAGTCTTTGTCGGGCTCACGCAACTTAGAATGTGCGTAGAAGCCCAACTCAATGCTTCATAACAGTTACATCTATGGCACGATGCACTGGAGTTATCACGCAACTTTCCCACAGGAAATTTACAAAATGAGGATCAAGGAATATGTTCCTTGAGGAATCGATGTCAAAAGTTTGTGCTCCTCCTGAATCTATGATCCATCGTATTACTCCTCTTCAACATATGATCCAGTGTGGTACTTCTCCGACACTCGTCAGAAACCGCTGCTGGAGTCATAGAGCGAGAGTTGTCTCTACTGGGAGTACAAGGCGTGCGCGGACTTGCACTGTGAGGACTTAAATAAGAACTTGTTTGCAACTTCCTTGAGATGGACATAGCACGCCTGGAAGCGTCTCTGTCCCAGCCAGCACCTCCACTGTTCTTGAATTTGTCTAGTTGAGACAAAAACATGAAAGAGACGCTCGTTGCCAACACTGCAGAAGCACGGCCTACAAGAAGGAATAACAGGGCGACCAGAAGAATCACCGCTAACCATGCCTCATGCTTGTGGCATTTCTTCAATTCACATTTTTTGCGTGCTTCATGCATGTCTGCAGTAAAAGGAGATGGGCTGGGTATACCAAGCCCTGACTGTCGTGGAGTCGCATGGTCTCCCCTCATGCTGTCCATCTTGTTAGATTTTACCTTTCCATTCCCAGGACTGCAGGGTTTTAAGCTGTCGAGATCAAGTGATCTTCTCGGGGACTCTTTCATGGACGCGCTGATCCTGAAACTGCCAATGCGCAAGGTATGAGGCGAATAGGCAGGCGATGTCGTATCGAAGACGCCATGTGAGTGAGATACACTAACCCTCAGGTTCGCGAACCGCGACCTACTAAAACTGCTGGTTCGGCTGCTAGAGATGTCTGAGTCTCCATCACCGTGGCGTGACGCAGATCTCCTCTGTAAGAAAGATTTCTTCTTCATCCCAGGTTCTCGGGTGGATCTCCCATCTGGGACTTCTAATGCAACTGAAGAGCATGAATCGACACGCTCAGGGTGTGAACCTACGCTCTCGCAGAAACCTGTGGATTTCCGGTTGAGATGATTGGACGACATACTGAAGACACGATCTTTGATGTCGCTGCCAGTTTTGTTTCGCGGATAAGACTTCATGAGTTTCGCCTTAAATTGGCTTAATTTATTAGAAGGTGAGGCACACTTCTCCGTATGAAGAGAAAGAGAAGAACTGCTGGCCGGAGAAACCTCTAGAGAAGTAGGTTGAGAGGAAGATTCACAAATTTCAGGACGATCCCCAACCGATGGAACCGCAGTGAGGTTCTCCGAGGCAAAGGAAGAAAATCGAGGGGAGGGGGGAGAGGAATGGGGAGAAGCCACAGTAGAGAAGAGGCTTGAGTTCTGCCGAAGTAGTGTCGAATGGCGACTTGAAACTCGATCTGCGTCATTTGGTCTCCCTTCCTCCACCTGCAGTGTACTATGATCCAACCTTTTCGTGGCCAATGCAGATAGATGGGAATGCAGGAGCACTTGCAGAAATTTACTGATTCCAGGCAAGTATTGCGTTCCAATTCGGTAAGGGACAACAACGCCAAGATACAGTACTCCCAACATTGAACCGGGCAAGTTTGATGTTTTCTCCACTACAACTGCTAGAACGATAATGAAGACAACCGATGTCCTGTCAACGAGCCTCCATCTCCTCTCACGCTTGCCAATAGACCTTCTACGCGTAGATACGCCCTTACCTCCTCGGAAATCCAATTGGCAGTACGGATGCGATAACGAACTCTCTCTCTTCACCAACGATTCGATATTCTCTGAATCCATTACTACTAACTCGTCTGAGTTGGAGATCTGCTCTGTGAAACTCACCGGTGCACCTATCATGCTATGACATCCTTGATCGGTTGCATCCATATTGTCCACGACCGTATCCACTGTACTATCGGTATCTAGTTTACTGATATCCTCTGTGGAGATAGACTCCGAAACAGCAGTGCTCACTTCCTCTTCGTATGCATGACCTACCGCGAAGCTGCTAGACATGTCTTTCTGTAAATAATTTGAGTCAACAGACCGGCTACGCATCGACTTGGACATGGACCGTACCATCGATACCTGAGCTGCCATTTTTTCGACCATGGAGTCTCTTCTAGCCTGAAGCTCCGCATATATAACAGAGAATTTTTCAACACCTCGTGTTGTGTAAGAACTTAATCTACTCTTCCCTTTCTTTGACTTGCATCCCTTACTTCGGCGACGAAGTTTCGGCCACAAATCCATGATAGGAGCACCAGAATCCATTGCACTGTGAACTAACTAACTAATCATAATCTAGACATGCACCGGCACAGGTTTGGCGTGACTAGGAAATTAACCCTCAGATGATACCACTACATTACCTCCTGCATTACCAGACATTAAGTTGCGCTTTGTGTGCCCTACGAGCTATCATGGTCGGATTGCACCAACGTATCAGGATAGCTACGAAGTCGGATAAAATCCGGCGAGGCAGTATCCTCGGGCGTCAAAACTGTAGTGGTCAGTCCCATGACATTCATCTGCGGGAGCGCGCTAAGGGTGACGACCTCGTACTAGACACAGGTCGGATCCACCACGCGACAACTAATATCAAAACGGAAAAGTACGAAATCTCAAAACAGACCATGGCCAGTGGGCTATATGACAAAATAACATCAAATCCACATTTCAGCTCTAAAACTTGCGGCCCACAACACCAAACATGAACACATTCACAAAGCTCGCACAAGCATGAACACGTCACCGAAAGAGGCACAAAATACCACCGGAGGAAGACACAATGCGAAACCACCAATTCAAACACTTACCAAGGATTTGATCGAGTGAGAATTACGCCTAACTAGAGCAGACTCACTACTTTCAAGCGCAAAAATTTTCAGCCGCTCTGGAAACACAAGGAAGAATCCTTGGATTGTCACCACAACTATATCGATCGATACAATGGCTACTTCAAATTCCGCCACCTCCACCACCATCACCGCGAGACAGGTGCCTTTCCTTCCTGCGAGAGCCGCGCCCGGCACACTCCTCCAAACGGCAAGAAGTCTAACACGCTTCTGGCTCTATACACTCTGTTCATTCGTCACCAATGATATATGTACACTCACGTGAGGATGAATGATTTATCCGTTAATGATTGGGAAACAGCACCCTCCACGCTTTTTTTTTCATCCTGCGTTATCTTCATCCGTCACTCCCGCTGACGTCTTCCTCAGTCTCCGTCAATTATTAGAGACGAGAACTTCCCGTTTAAAAAAGACACACACAATCCGCTTTCTCCTTGTGTTTCGAAACTTGCGGGGATGGAACCCGCTATTCATCCATGGATGAATTGAATTGTGAGTTGGTGAGATATTCATCCATTTTCCCAGCGCTATAAATTCCGAAATATCCCTCCCCCAAAGCCTTTGATCTGCATGAGTCAGCTGACAGATAGTATCGTCGCAATCGAATCGGAGCAGAGCACCGTGTCATTCGTGTTGCAGGCGCTTGCTTAAATTGATCAGCGGTGTCATCACTTCAGACGCTGAAGCGCGCTCATTAATCCCGCTCGGCAAGCGAGATTACTCCCATCTGCAATGACATTATTATAGTCTTCCAGCTCGCAATGTGAGATCCCACTTGTTCTGTCCTCTCGAGCTAGGATTTAGCAAGAACCCTCGCTGTGTTGATGTGGCCCGAATCCTGTGATGGAAATCGGCGCCGCGGAGCTTGCTTAGTGATGTATACTGTAATCGATGAGCTTGGAGGAGTTATGGTTTGCAGATGCAATGCTGGCTCGCAGCTGAGAAGACGGAAACGACGAGTTGGCCGTTAGTGTGTGTGTGTGTGTTTTCATTTTTTTCTGTTTGAAAACCTTTTCTTAGGAAGTAGCTGTTAACCTTTGTGAAATTCATCAGACGTTTTTGATAAATTTATCAATATATTATAACATTTTATATAAGATCTTACATCAAAAAGAAAAAATTAAAGAAGAATGTGTAATATTAACAATTTATTTTGTGAAACAATTACAGATAATAGATTTTAGATAAATTATTTTTATTATAAAATTCTTTGTATTAAAGTACAACATATATATCTTAATTATGTTAATAAATGAATTAAATAATTAGATATTTTTATTATCAAATGTAATTATGTAATATACTTTTGATAAAAAATTTAAGTTATAATTAAAGACATTATTAAATGGAATATTTTGATAATATCTCAGCAAATTATTAAAATAATTCAGAAAATAATTATCTTTAAAGCAAGTAAGATATAAGTTAAAGCGCATATAAAAAATAAAAATTATGAAGAATATTTTATTTATTTATTACTTAAATTAGATTATCTTTATTATTAAATAAATTTTTATTTATAGTTATTGTTAAATTATTTTATATTAGAAAATAATTTGATACAAAAAAAACTAATAATAACAATAATAAAAAGAAAAGAAAAGAAAAACCATGTCAAAAAATAATCAACCAATCAAATAAGTATGCCCAAGTATAAAAAGGTTCATAAATCACACGATAGAAAAAAAATAAAAAATAGTCAATATAATTAAAAATGTCTTTTAACTTGCTTTTATTCATGCAAGATGGCTTTTAGCTAGTTATTGT